ACATACTTCACACCTGGGAAGACGTCTGACAGAAGGCTTTGAAGAAGTGGGATGTCCTCGGCTACAAGTTTGGGAACCATTGTCTCTGATACACTCTGAATCAGGATCTGTGGAGAAAAATTCAACCATAAGACTATATATAAGCATACGAAAACATATTCATCATCACATTTCTGTACAAACCTCTTGTTCATTGAGTCCTTCTGATATTGCAGCCTCGTCTGCTTTTTCTCCTTTGGAAGTCAAGTCCTCTTTGATCTTCTGGATCATGTCTCTCTTTACATTTCCAGCACTGATGAGAACACTCTTCAAGGCACGGAGACCAAAGTCGTAATGAGACTGATTTGACAGTTGTTCATCACACAATCTGTAGAAAGATGGAAATCAATAAAAACAATATTCTTTGAAAGTGAATATTATAAGTGAATCCAAAACTTTTGAGTGAGTTWAGTTTTATGGGAMTTTTTTCATTCATAGACAATGTTCTTTATTCTTCCTTTCTTCCTTTCTTTTTTCATTCCCACTTTTATTCATTTATATTTCATTTATTTGCTAACTGATGTTAGTGAGATTTTGGGTCATCAGGRCTCGGTTTGATTCTAAGGCCAGGAAATTTTTTATAAGTTGCATTAAATTTTAATAACAATATCTAATATTTACTTGAAGAAAGGAACAATCTTGCTAGCAAGCTTCTCTGCRGTTCGGAAGCCCTGTGAGTACAGCATAACCTCAGCTATGAGTTGTCTGTCTGGCTTGGTCATGGCAAGACTACGGAATAACTTCTTAAGGTTGTCAGGCAGGTTGGATCGYCCAGCATATCCAGGGTTCATGGTAATGAAGATAGCCATGTTCTTGCTYACCTTGACTTGTTTGCCGACTAGTTCAATGGTCAATGATGCTGCAATGATAATTTATCAATAATTAATACTTTTATTATTAGTTAATTCATTAATCTATCAATCAATCAATCAATCAGTCAATCGTCCCCCCACTAGTCTGCCATAATAGTATTTATAATTTTCAGAAGCATGACAAGAAAAACAAAAGAAATAATACAATATTAAGAGAGAAGTTTCATATATGAATTACAGTACTTACTTTCGCTTTCTCCACTCTCTTTCAATGCTTGCTGGATTGTCTGAATTTGCTGAGAGACTGCAGACAACATTCGTTCCTCCAAACGATTGAATTCATCAAAGCAGCCCCATGCTCCCACATGGCACAAACCAAGGAAGATACGACCCATTGCCTACAATATTATAATGCCAAGCAATGCTCAATTCATATAATAGTCTTTTTACAAGATAATGATGACACAAACTAAGGAAGATACGATCCATTGCCAACAATAATATAATGCCAAGCAATGCTCAATTCGTACAACAATCTTTCTACAAGATATTGATGGACATTATAGTATGCAATAATAGTATTTCTACCTGGAAATCAAAGTTCTCATCGCAGTTGAAGACCAATACAAATCGGCCAAGTTGGTGACCAAGCGCTTTCACTGACTCTGTCTTTCCAGTTCCAGCAGGTCCTAGAAATAGCAACACATCATTATCATCATCATGACCAAACAAATAAGAGTTGTTAACGTTAGGGTAGAGTTATCAAAGTTATCACACTAGGTACACTAATCACTACTATGATCTATTCTTACCAAATGGAGAACCTCCKAGCCTTCCCTCCAYAGCTTGAGTCATGGTCAAGTAGCAACGGTCAGTCAATGGTGTTGACACTAGCTTATCTTGCACTCCAAGATACTCAAAGCCATAGTTGAACTTAGCATTGGCCATATGGATGGACAACTGCTTGAGAACATCCTTCTGCTTAGGGTCAAAGTAGAAGCGCATCTGACTTAACCACTCAAAGGCCTTGTTGCCAGTGACTTTGGCATTGACCAACGTCCTTGTGATGTCACGTTGATGTACATGTTCAATGATCTGTGAAATTCAAAGTCTGATTTTAGATACCAATTTTCTACACTGCTTCCCCCTGGGGGGGAATTTCACCAAAAGGTGGAGGGATAAGGAATTGAACTATTTTCTTACCAAATGCTCCAGTTTGCGTCTTCTGACAGGAGGCTGTTCCTGTAATACTGAGTCAGCSAGAACATTTAAGGTACATTCCACCACTTTGAGCACTTTCTCTAGAGGACTCATGTCTGATGGCTTGTTGGCAATTGCCTGAAGAGCATTCTCACAGCTTTCAGACCAGGAAATCTGTGCAGCTAGTACAACCAATTGAGCCTGGAAACAACAGAAAAACAGTATATCAACATGAAGTCAACATCATATATTTGTTGGTGAATTCATATAGGATTTCTGGTGTGCACAACAAGTTGAGACCAGATAAATCCTTCTATCATCTTGATTTAAGCAAGTATAGCACAGATAAACACTAAGAAGAATTCATGTGGATGTATGCTTTCTTGAGGAACTTGAATGACCATGATAGTTTCCTTTATCAAGCTCTGTCACAGTACACATTCAAGTTTTTTTATTCTAGTATTTGAACAAACTTTACCTGGTATTTGTCAACCCATCCCATGTACTCTTGACTGTCAATCTTCTCTGTGTTGAACTGGTGAATCTCCTTGACGGCAGATGCTAACAGGGTCGCCAAACTGGTGCGCATTTCATTCTCAACACAAGTAAGCCATTCATTGACCTTGGGATTCTGCTTGAGGTCAACTGGCTTCTTGAAGACAACCTTGAAACACACACTACCATCACACTAGGTAGACTATGATACTGTATATAAAAATTATATATTTAATTGTTTATTGATTTTTTCTTACTTCCTCTCCTTCTTTAGAGCTGAGACCTGTAACTAATGTTTCCTCTTCATTCAGAACTATGCTTGCAACTCCAGCAAACATCTTCTTGAAGTGCTTTTGTAGTTTGGGAATGCTCTTGCTGTTTCCAATGATTTCCAGAAGATCTTCATCACCAACAAAGTAAAACCTGAATAAAGGAAGGTATCAGAAAAAGTTAATAAGGAAGAACTTGCTGCATAATCAAGATAACAGTCTTCTTCAGCATTCCCTGTGCTACTTAACAGGTAGCCGTGCCTTTACATCGAAGCGAGACGACCTTCTTTCACACCTAAATTATTCATAGGTATCTATCATTGCACGCTCAATGGTTGTCTCGCTTCGAAGTAAAGACACAGCTACCTTTCAAGATGGTGCAGTGAACTGTTAAGGAGACTATTGACTATAATAATTGAGCATATTCTCTATTCTTACCTTGGAAATGAAGCTCTCTCTTGTTCCAAGTACTCTCCCAAAGCCTTCTGGATCTTGCCGAGRAAGTCAGCCAGCCTCTCAAGCTGTCGCTGGACACCCTGGATGTTAAGGACATCAATGATCTTAGGTGACTTGGCGACCTTCTTCATCAGTGTTAAGAACTCAGTGCTGATACTGAAATGAAGGAAATCGATTAAACAACTGATTGATTTAAATATCATTTTGTAGAGTGATTGACAGGTTGATTGATTGATTCAATCATTCGATGATTCATTGATTAGTTGATAGATGGATGGTTGACTGATTCAATCATTAATTGATTCATTGATTAACTGATGGATGGATGAATGGATTTATTTTTCCTTTTTTTCACAAACCTTCCAAATCTCTGAGTTTCCACAGGAAGGAGAGTCTTGATGTCAGCACTTCCACTGAAAATACCATCAAGGTAAACCCATCGTCGCTGGACATCGATCCAGACATCGAAGATGTCATGGATGCGGTTGAGCTTTTCTTCCCATTGAAGAGCATCTTCCTCAAAAACCTAAAAAAATATATCGTCATAATATAATCATCAATGCAATATAGACCACAACATCATTGGTATCAACTAATGCAGCCTCACTAGTATCAGATTCTAAAATATTTAGGATACTACGCGCGCTGTGATTGGTCGAAAACCATGTTTGATTACAGTATCAAAACACGCTCGCGCACGTCAAAAATTTCTTTTTTTCTTTTAATTTTAGAAAAGAAATAAAAGACGAAATTCCGTGTTTGATACTCTGATCAAAACACTTGGGATGTAGGGAGAGCACTCGAAAAGCTGGAAACCACTCCGCTACGAGTCGTGGTTTCCTACGCTTCTCTCGTGCTCTCCCTACATCCCGCGTGTTTTGATCAGAGTATCAAACACGGAATTTCGTCTTTTATTCCTTAAATGAAAATCAACTTAATAGTGGAAATCTTCTATTTTATAGTGGAAAAATCATGTTTGCTGATTTTGATATCAATTTTGAACCATATCCCAGTCCTTTCATTGCCACATTATTGCTTTCATTTATATCATTTCAATACAGTGAAAACATTGTTAGATACCTTGTAATAAGGTGACAGTTTCATGGCAGAAATGCTGTTGATGTGTTCTTTGACCTTGGTGAACAGCTCGTCCCAACCACGGATGATACGGCACTTGTTTTGGTAGTTCACCAAATCCAGCTCAAAGCCTTGCCATACATCACGAACCTGAGAAAAACAACACAAATTTATYATTTAATATTACTAATACATTAATATRATCTAATACTATTTGRAGTACCTGTTTCAAYAATTCTTCCAGMGCCATTTCYCCTTGAGCTACAAGAATMGTGTCCTTTACAACAGCTTCGTTCTTCAACAAGTCAACGTCCCAGACTTGACCAAGGGTTAAATCAGTCAAAACCCAACTAACATGAAGCCTTCTCATCAGGTTCTTCCAGTGTCGCTCCTTRAGTGCCTCMGATTTCAGCTCCACTATCAACACATTGATCTAGAAAATMATATTTTAAGTCAGGTACAAGTCAAGGTCTTGTTACAAAGAGAAAAATACCAAGTGATTTCCATGTTTTTATAAATATTTGTCATCATGGACTACAATATAACTTGAGTTCTTGAAATATGTAGCTTTCTAAACAATCGACTAACCTTTAGATAAGACTTGATAGTATTCTGAACAAATTCAAATGATGAATATTGGCGCAATCGTGAAGGGAGAGCCTTCATGTCATTCAGCAAACCTTCCAGAGACTGACGAAGCTGTAAACAAACATACAATGTGAAATAAACCAAAAATAATTTGAATTCAAATAACATTTCCTTTACCTTTCTTGGCTGTACAGACAACCATGGTCTTTCCTTCAGTTCTTCGATTTTCTCCCAGAATTTGGCCAGTTCAGACCAGACACCTTTCAGGTCCTGAAGCTCCTCCAATGCTACCTGGACTTTCTCTTCACTTGGAACCAGAGTTCCTGGAAATACAATTACCAGTCAGTTATACAACTATTGTTTTT